AACAGTACCGTCGAGCAGCTGTCACCGCCGGCGAGCTTCCTTTGGCTTCCAGTCGTGGTCGTGGCCATCTTTGGCGTTGCGCTGGCGCGATGAAGACCGTGGCGTGGCTTCTTCTTGCTTCTGAGCTACGTTATAAAGGCTGAGACGCCGTCGTCGTCGTTTTTCTTCCTCCTCTGTTTTCTCCCACCGCCATTGCCATAACTCCATTGAGCTTCACCGTCGCGGTAGCGCCTTCCCATCTTCGGCAAAGCTTGCCACAGCTTCGCCTAGTCCTTGCACAACCAGCCAACCAACTCTGGTCGCTTGTCTTCGTCGAGAACTCGCTGTGCGTTGTTTTCTTCCTCACGGTCGGTAGCATCTCCGTCGAGCGAGCACCTCATGGCCAGCGCGCTGCGGTGAGCCTCTGTCCTTGCTCGGTGTTGTTAAAGCTTCACTTGGATGCCGTGGTGCTTAATCCCTTATTGCTTGACCAATTTGTCCACCACAGCCACCGGGACTTCGTCGTCGACGTTGCTTGCGTCACCACAGCTGCTGTGATCATCGACCCATCTCTCCGCTGCTCCTTCGGCCCCGTTCTTTGCTCCAGCGTGATCGGGGTGAGCTCCTGAGTCTTCCTGTGCCGTTTGTTTAATCGCTACCGGGCTCCTGTCGCCGGCGTAGCGTCGCCGAGCCGCCGCATTTGCCATGGCCGGTGTCAAGCTCGAACCTCGCTGTATTTGCTCAAGCTAGTGACTCCAATCGATGCGTTGGGTTGTGGGGAATGTGTTGGTACCGTCGCCGTGGCTGGAGGTCTCACCGACGGCGAGTTATCGCTGGTCAGAGCCGTCGCTGCCGTGGTCAATGCGCGGCGGTTGGGGATGACAGGTGGGGTCACCTTGTCAGTGAGCGGGTGATTTGAAAAATGATTTTTCCTTTTTCAGAAATGAATTAATAGCGTCTGTGTTTTGTTATTTTTGTGTGGATTTATTTAGAGCTCCAAAAATTATGAAAATTTTTGTGTGACCTCTCTGTGATGTATATTATTTATGAAAATTATGAAATGTTGCTTTTCAGTACTTTTTGAATGTGATAAAAATTGCTCAATTAATTAATAAATGAGTTTCCATGATTTTTCTAGGCTTATTTATTTATCCAAAAATTATGAAAATTGTTTTGCCACTTAGTTACCATGTGATAAACATTTACAAAAATTTTGAGGTCAATTGGAACAAGTTGATTTATTTCATAATTCTTAATTAAATAATTAATTCATAAAAGCAAATAGTAACCTTTCATGATTTAGGTTTTGATTGAGTAATGTCCTTGGGTCATTAGTTGGTAATGATCCTTGGCAATTGATGCATGTGTTACGAAAAAGGTTTAGTTAGTTTGACTTATAACTGTACAGCGAAGGAAAGTTGTATTCAAGTTGTTAATTTTTGTATCCATCATCGAGCATCATGTTTTATATTTCGCATCATGTTAAACGTGGCATTGTTACTACGTGTAGTGAACGAAGGTGAGCACGTGGTAGTTAATCAAGTAGTTGAGGAGGTTGATCCGTCTGTGGAGGTTGGATTAGATATCGGTGGAACGACTCCGGAACCGGACTTTTCCGTCAACGAAGGCAAGCCCCGGATGCATTTAAACCTACCTTGTGTTTTACAAATTGATTTCGCTTTTGCTTTTCTTTACTGCATTAAGTGATTAGGAGTTAAGTGAAAACCTAATTGGTGCATTATTAACCTTGTTTTTCCATATCTACCTTGTTACTAGTTTTAATTCGTATATGCCTTGTTATGCTTAGCTATGCTTAGAACGATGAAAGTCGGGTAATTACCTGTCACCTATAAGTTTTAAATGGAACTTTGGTTACTTATGTTATCATGTGATATGGGAATGTGGAGTAATAAATCTATACCGGGCGGACTCGGTGTGTGTGAGCCACAAGACATGGAGGTCTTGTGAGCGGGTTCTTTCCGCCTGTGTCGATTAAGGCCCGTACCATTGTTGAATTGTGTGCGGTGAGACTTTGTAGTACTAATCACATACTCCGGTAAGCCTTAACTTGGCTATTCTATTACGAGAATGGCTACTCACGCACTGGGAGTGGAGAGATGGCGGGAATAGCGTGTACCCACGTGGCATTGGGCTGGATTGGTGGAGTACTGTATTCTCGAGTGGCGTGGACCCGTTCTTGTTTTAGAGGATCCGAGGGTAGGTTGGTATATGTAGGTCAGGGACCTGCATATGTCGTGTGGTCTGGAATTCCCAGCTGGGTTTTTAACCGGTTCGAATCGTCGTTGCTCCTCGGTTATGGAGACTCACTTCTCTGTTCATCATCGTAGTATTAATAACTGGAACTTGAGGATGGTTTGAGAAAGTGTTGGATATGAAGTTTCATGATCTTTATACGGATCATGTCAGCTTTGTATATGATCGTATGAAGTTTTAAATGTTGATGTATAGAATTTTATTAAAAAGCTTTTACTCAAAAGAACTTTGATTATTGCTTAAGCCATGCCTTGAATCCCTGAACCTGCATTCTTAAGTTCTATCAGTTTTTATTTTCGGTTAAGTCTTGTTGAGTACTTTTGTACTCAGGGTTCGTTGACCCTTGTTGCAGGTGAGGCTTATGAGCAGATCTGTTTTGGATCGTGCTGCATGATTGTTGTTCAATGCGATGATGATAAGTAAATGTGTGGCTCTTGGGCAGGGCAACTTATTTGTGTGTTCTATAATATGTTATAATGCCACCCCACTACTACATTTTGTATTATTAACCGAACTTAGTTGTATGATTTGAAACAAATGGTTTGTAAACTATGTTATTGTAAGACTTCCGCTATGTTTTACTCTAGTGTAGATATTTGAATAAATGTTGTATTCTGCAATGACTCTGTAATGTGATCCTGCTCGGAAATCGTGGATGATTCGGGGTTCTCCGAGGACACCCGACAGTCTTCTTAAGTTACCAGGAACATATGCATAGTTGTCAGAGGTCGTCGGATAGTGATAGTTGCATGTGGGCCCTATAATTTAGGAGGTTCTGCCACAAGAAGAATGGGAGGGGAGGGAACGCCGCCATGGAGCCCACCGGCAGATCCACGGATCCACCGCCACCGGGATCCAACCCACCGGATCCGTCGCCGGAGGACACCTCTCCACCGGATCCACGCCGTGGTGGCTCCATCCCACCGGATCCGCGATGCCACCCGCCGGTGGAACCATGGAGGGAGGGGAGGAGGGCGGATCTGCACCACCACCCGCTGCTGCTGCTGCTCCGCATTGCCAGGAGGGGCCGAGCCGCCCTACAACATCGTCGGGAAGAAGAAGGGGAGGGAGGGGAGGGGCTGGATCTGGCGACCCCCGTGGGGAAGAAGAAGGGAGGGAGGGCGGATCCGGTGGCCGCCATGATGGGGGAAGAAGAAGGAGGGAGGGAGGGGCCAGATCCGGTGACGGGGCAAGGGAAGAAGAAGGGAGGGAGGGAGGGGGCGGATCTGGTGGCCGCGGTGGGGAAGAAGAAGGGAGGAGGAGGGGCCGGATCTGGCCGTGTGGGGAAGAAGAAGGGGAGGGAGGGAGGAGTCGGATCCGGCAGCCTGGCGTGGGGAAGAAGAAGGGAGGGAGGGAGGGGGCCGCCACTGTGGGGAAGAAGAAGGGAGGGGGCGGATCCGGTGGGGAGGAGGAGCGAGGAGGGGGCCGACAACAAGGGGAAGAAGAAGGGAGGGAGGGAGGGCCGGATCTGTGCTGGGAGGGGGAGGGGGAGGAGGGGGGCGGCGGTGGAGGGGATCTCACTGGGGCTGGGGTGGGAAGTAGAGGAGGGGGCAGGTGCAGGGGATCCATGGCGATGGGGGGGGGCGGGGGGGGGGGGGCTGGGGAGGAGGGGGATTTTGTTGCGGGTGGGTTTTTTTCTATATTTTTTTATTTTGCCGAGCGTTGATTTTAAGCGGCGAACCTCCCTTTGCCGAAAGTGTGTTTTTACACTCGGTAAACCCTCTATTTGAAAGTGTTTTTGTTTTTCCCCTCTTATAGTTTTTTTGCCGAGTGTTTTTAGGATAGCACTCGGCAAAGAATTTGTTTGCCGAGTGTCCGAGAGAATGCACTCGGCAAACATAAAAACAATCGGTAAATTTGAGGTTTCCGGTAGTGAGGAAGTAGGAGCTGCTGCAAGTAAATATGAAGCCAAGAGTACCAAGGTAGACTCCAAGTATTTCCAATGAAGGTGGTGCTCTTTGTGCTTGGCCAAGGCGTAACGACGCATGTTTTAGCATGCTTGTTGTAAGAAAACAAGGCAAGAAGCCTAGAGTTCGCTTGAAAAACAGCTGATATATACATAGCTTAGGAGGCCGCGCGGCTTGGCGCAGCACCGTAGTGTGTTGAGGCGGCGTGCCACAACAAAACGTGTTTGCAGGTTGCATTGCATACAACGGTCTACGGCAGTGTTTGTTGACTGCACGTACCAAAAGGTCCAAAGGCAGCGACTGAAAGATGCCTTCCAAGCTGAGATGAATGACAACCTTTGGATCTGACTTGGAGGGCACAGATGAGGAGAAAGCTACAATGCGACTTTACATTGGTATAAGTTAGGAAATCTGAGTCCGTAAGAGATATTCAGCTTGTTCGCTTGGTCATATTTGGTTTATAAGTCATGGCTTATCAGCTAATGAATAATATTTTTCTCTCAGTCAATAGTACTTTTAGCCATGGTTTATAAGCCATGCAAGTCCAAACGAACGGGGCGACGGTGAGATGACAACGGTGAGCGTAAAGTCTCTTTTCTACCACCACCTAGCAGTTAGATTGGACGACATGTTAACGCAAGTGGCACACGAGGGTCGTAAAAGTTAGAGCAATGATTTAATATATGGCATACCAATTATTTATTGATAGATATGAAATTTAGAACGTTTTAGTGGCACCTAACTACGTAAGGAATGGCCTCCATAAATAAAGTCCTTCACTGAGATCCATTCCACACAACGCTCCGCTCAACCACTATTCAGTCTCCACCTTGGTCGTCCATGTCGTCCCAGCAGCTGTGGACGGCTCCCGCCAAGCCGGAGGCGCCACCGGAGTTCCTGTGCCCGATCACGCTAGACCTTATGCAGGACCCTGTCGCGGCGCCCACTGGCATCACCTACGACCGCGCTGCCATCGAGTCCTGGCTGCTCGCCGGCGGCCAGCGCACATGTCCAGTGACACACGGCGAGCTCCGCGCCGGAGACCTCGTCCCCAACCACACTCTCCGCCGCCTCATCCAGGACTGGTACGCCACCAACCGTTGCTGCTGCTGCAGCGTCGATCGGGATTGGGTCCCCGCCACGCCTGAGGAGGCCGCCGTCGCCGAGCTCCAGGGCGCCACGCGCGCAGGCGACGCCGAGCGGTGCGCTGCCGCAGCGCGCGGGGTCCGGCGACTCGCCTGGCGGGCGGCGGCGCAGAACCGGCGCCGCCTCGAGTCCGCCGGCGCGGCGCGCGCTCTCGCCGCGGCGTTCACATTCTTTGCGGGCACCGCCGATGCTGCGGCCGCCGCTACTGACGACGTCCTCGACGTCGTGCTGGCAGCGCTGGTGCTCGTGATGCCGATGGACGAGGAGGCCATCCTGGCCGTGGCCTCGTCCAGCGCGTCAGTGGCGCGGCTGGTCGCTGTCGCCGCGAACGGCGACCTGCACAGGAGGCTGCAAGCCGTGGTGGTAATCAGAGAGATCGTCTCGCTCTCAGATTCCAGAGGTGCCGCGGCCGGTACGATCGATCTGAGCGCGAACGCCGAGGCCGTCCCCCAAGTATTGGTGAAGACAATCAGAGACGGCATCTGCCCGCCGGCGACCAGGGCGTGCCTGGTCGCTGCGTACCACCTGGCGTGCACCGGCGAGAGCGCCGCGGCGCGCCTTGCGTCGGCCGGGATCGTGACGGTGCTCGTGGAGCTCCTCGTTGACGCTGACAAGAGCACGGCCGAGAAGGCTCTCGCCGCGCTCGACGCAGCACTGGCGGCGTCTCGCGACGGCAGAGCGCGTGCCCGTGCCGACGCGCTCGCCATGCCCGTTCTGGTCAAGAAAATGTTCCGGGTGTCCGACGCCGCCACCGCGCTCGTCGTGTCCGCGCTGCTGCGCATCTGCAAGAAATACCCGGACGACGACGCGGCGGCAGGGGCAGCTAGGCGGCACGCCATCGTTGAGGCGCTGCAGCTGGGCGCCCTCCAGAAGGTGCTGTTGCTTCTGCAGGCTGGGTGCAGACAGGAAACCAAGGAGAATGCAACTGAGCTGCTGAGGTTGATGGTCAGGTATCAGGGCAGAGGGGAGTGCTGCGTGGACGCCATGGATTTGGGAGGGATCAAGAGAGAGACTGCAATTTTGACAGGATAGTTAGTTTTGTGTGAATATACATGCCATAAGAAAACAGGTTTATTTATATATATTATTAGCTACGAAACAGCATGTCCTATATATGTATATATTACAAAAGAAGGGAAAAATTAAAATTAAACACCCTCTGAAGATTTGTGTACAAAATGGACAAGCATTTGCACGATTGCTACCTCAAGAGTTCATTGGCACGGTTCCGATGTTTGTCCTTAGTACAAGAGCCTTTGTTTTGTTTTGTAATGGACGGCATGAGAATTGCCATATGAATCATAAATTAGAATAGAACAAAAAACACGTCATAGAAAAACCTACCGGCTTTGCAGAGCCTTTTGTCATTCTTGCATATTGGTAAATCGTAGGTATTGACATATTGTGAGTTTGTCATCAGATATTTCAAGAAATACATGCAAGTTTATTTTTCTTTTATTTTGCGATAGGAAGATATATGAGATACTATTATTCTTGGAAGTCCAGTCCAGTCTCAGTAAGCGGAAAGTTAAGTTGTTCCAGTCTACTACTATCTCGTTCATCAGGCATCCCATCATCACTACCATACGTACGCCATTCAAATGCATGGAAGATAACGACGGACGTTCTGTTCTTCGTTCAAACAAATTGGCTTGGAATAGTCCACTAATAATCCAGTCAATGGTCACGTCATCACATGAACATCCACTCCCCGTTCGGTTTACCTTAAATTCGGCTTGTTCGGCTTCTTTTTTAAGACCGAAACAGTGTTTTTCTCTCATAACATTTCAACCAGAACAGTATTTTTCAGCTAATTTCAGTCAAAATTCAGCAAACCGAACGGGGCCGGTTCCTTTTGTTGTGCATGTCAATCAAACTAGGGCCTTGTTTAAATTCAGGGTGTAAAGTTTTGATGTGTCACGTCGGATGTTACATGGAGGTATCGTATGGAATGTTCAAATACTAATAAAAAAATAAATTACAGAATCCGTTAGTAAATCGCAAGACGAATTTATTAAGCCTAATTAATCTGTCATTAGCACACATGTTACTGTAGCACCACATTGTCAAATCATGGACCACTTAGGTTTAAAAATTCGTCTCGTAAAATAGTCACAATCTGTGTAATTAGTTCTTTTTATTCTATATTTAATACTCCATACATGTGTCAAACATTCAATGTGATATGGTGTAAACTTTTGGGGAGGAACTAAGCAAGGCTTAGATCCCTTTGTCCTATACTTGTCAAGTTGTTATTCTTTATCCAAACTTCCGAACTATTCCATTACCGCTGATGCTGAGGCTTAGCAGTTTCTCACATTACCCTGTTTTTGAATTTTGATTGAAAGAAAAACTATGGTCATAAATAAAGAGGCAACTGAACTTTCAGTTTTTGCTTCTTTCATCAGTTCAAAGCACTGCACCGTCCGATTATTACAAAGTGTGCATCACAAGACTGAAAACATCACATGACCCATGACGATGAGTGATAATAAAAGCATAATGAACCACCAAAAGTTCGATGAGGAAGTTAACCACGTGGCCATATATGAAACTGATAGATTAGGGAAACAAATTATATACGTATATGCGAGTTGTACAGTCATAAGGTTTTCTTAAAAGCTGATTCATTGAACCCAGTTAACCACGTGGCCATATATGAAACTGATAGATTAGGGAAACAAATTATATACGTATATGCGAGTTGTACAGTCATAAGGTTTTCTTAAAAGCTGATTCATTGAACCCATTCTGCACCCGGCCAGTCATCAGGAAGAATAATTCAAACCAGAAGAACACCATTGCTCATCACCCACGCTGTATATTCCCATCGTTACATTATTGTACATGCCCGTCCAACTGGATTCGGTTTGTCCTATGGTTTCCAATTTAATTTGTTGAACAGTTCCAATACCTCTGGGCAGTTGAAGACAACCATGTTTGATTGAAAGAAAAAATAAAATTAGTATAACCACCTCACCTGCCTCGCTCATTAATCACCCTGCAAAGCTGGCTGTCTATGGTCGTATTTTCGAGTCAATTTCTGCCGCCTGATGGACAGAACAGACGTGCACTCTCATTTCTTTCCCAGTCTTATCCGCGCATATATCCTGGCTTATACGGCTATACCTGGACCCATTATTATTTGTCATTGTCACGTAGTGCATTCGACTAGAGAAGCAAAGTTAGTCAAGATCCTGAAACTAAACAACACTGCCTTTCCTTTTCCAAGATGATAAAAAGAAAAGCAGGCATTGCCGCATTGATTGTGACAACAATACTAGGTTCGCACTAATCGGCCCGTCACTCAGATGACTTGCTACTGAAGAGTGAAGGCATCTGTGTAGATCTTCGTTTGTTTCATCATATCAGTCATACATTTGGCCTAAGAATGTTGCAAGCTTGTTACTGTAAGAAAGGCAAACGAAACAATGAATTAGAGAACACCTCGTACCCCTTGAGTCGGTTGATATTTCAAATATGTAGACCAGGAACGGCTTGTGTTACATATTACATGACCAATGTGAATCCAACAAATATATATGTCTAATACTCGCCTGCAGTCTCGGCAGGAGGATAACTGTATAGGCAAAAGAATGGACATGCAGCACTTGAACTTATCCTAAAGCTACCTTTTCTAACTCAATATGCTTTGTGCGACTTTCGTCTCTTTACATGTTGTTTCAGAATGGTACGCATACTTTGGACTTTGCACCATCAATAATACCATTTGCACATTACTAATTCATGCCTCCATGCCTCTAGTCCTATTGGGCCGAGGAATTAGCTACTGCCATGCTCAACGGGAGACCATCGCGAACTCTGTTTCGTTCCAGCTCCTCTTCAACACATATACATGTCTATAGTTACGACATACCGATGGCATTCAGTCAGTGAAGGCCAGTTGCTTGACCTGAGTTATAAATGCTTAAAATTTGTTCCACGGCTCTCAAGATTTGGTTCGGTATTTATATCTAATAATCCACTAATTATATACAGTTCCATGCATAACAAGTCTTTAAATTGTAAGATATATAACAGCACTTGCAGTACTATAGAGCCACACATTTCACATACTTTTTGTGTAATCAAAATAATCCATCTTAGAATACTAATGTTGTAACTCACATGACGGAAGTGCATTGCTTCACTTCAGCCAACGGCAGCAGCAACAACAACAACAAAGCCTTTAAGTCCCAAATAAATTGGGATAGGTTAGAGTTGAAACCCAGCAGAAACAATCAAAGTTCAGGCACGTGAATATCTGTTTTTCAAGCACTCCTATCTAAGGCTAAGTCTTTGAATATATTCCATCATTTCAAGTCTCCTTTTATTGTCACTACCCAAGTCAACTTCGGTCTTCCTCTGCCTCTCTTAACGTTACTATCCTGGCTTAGGATTTTACTATGCATCGGTGCCTCTGGAGGTCTCCGTTGGACATGTCCAAACCATCTCAACCGGTGTTGGACAAGCTTTTCTTCAATTTGTGCTACCCCTAATCTATCACGTATATCATCGTTCGAACTCGATCCTTCTTGTATGACCGTAAATCCAACGTAACATATGTATTTCCATGACACTTATCTATTAAACATGTCGTCTTTTTATAGGCCAACATTCTGCACCATACAACATAGCATGTGTAATCGACGTCCTATAAAACTTGAATTTTAGCTTCTGTGATACCCTTTTGTCACATAGGACACCAGATGCTTGGCGCCACTTCATCCACTCTGCTTTAATTCTATGGCTAACATCTTCATCAATATCCCCGTCTCTCTGTAGCATTGATCCTAAATATCGAAAGATATCCTTCCTAGGTACTACTTGACCTTCCAAACTAATATATTCCTCCTCTCGAGTAGTATTGCCGAAGTCACTTCTCATATACTCAGTTTTAGTTTTACCGAGTCTAAAACCTTTGGACTTTAAAATCTTCCACCATAACTCCAGTTTCTGATTCACTCCTGTCTGGCTTTCATCAACTAGCACTACATCGTCCGTGAAAAACATACAACAAGGGATGTCCCCTTGTATGTTCCTTGTGACCTCATCCATCACTAAGACAAACAGATAAGGGCTCAAAGCTGATCCTTGATGTAGTCTTATCCTAATCGGAAAGTCATTCGTGTCTTTTTCCTCATTAACCCAGGAGGAAAAACTAAAACTAAGTCTGGGTGAGGGTTCATCGTAACTAATTGATGTCAGGGGTCCAGAAATATGTACTACTAGCGTGTGTGACGTTACCACCAGCCTTTTGTCGTTCTTGCACAGTCATGCACCGTGTATATCGACGTTTTGTCAGTTTATCATCAAACCTTTCAACAAATACAAGCTTGTATTTTGTATTTTTAGAAGAAGGTAGGATTCTATAACTCATGGTTTATGGAATATTTTCCAGTTTCTATTCTTTCAATGTTCCATCCAATTTTAGTAAGCGGAGAGCTAGTTCAGTTTTGGTTTATGTTTGTATCTGGCACCCATCAGCCGCATTATCAGACTGTGCCATTGATAGATTCCTTGCTGTGCAATTCAGTATATCGTCCATAAAACAGTGTCTTTCCTGAGGATAAGAGTACCATCATCTCTTCTTATCAAAACAGGAGACTTTGGCCGTCAATCAACCTGTCCACGTCACCCTCAAAGCTCCCAGCCGTCCGATATTCGATCCTGTGGCCTAGATTAGTCGAAGCGGCTTTCGCCTGAAGCGCCTTCTCACACTTCTCGTGCGCTTATTCGTCTTCTCCACCGCTTCTCCTCGGCTTCTCTGGCTTCTCGGCCGAATCCAGAGGAACAAATATATACTCAGCTTTCGCTTTTCGTTCCAGATTCTTCTCGCGGCTTCCTCCCTCTGCCCGTCGCGCTGTCTCTCTCCCTCCCTCACGCCGTCGTGCTCTCTCTCTCTCTCTCCTTTCCATCCCGACGCGGACAGGGCGATGACGGCTTGCGCTGGCGGGCGCGGCGGCTGCGGCCCTCCTCCTCCTCCTCCTCCTCCTCCTCCTCCTCCTCTCCCTCCTCTCTCCCTCGCGTCG